CCCCCCCCCCCAAATAGACGTCATTGGCTTTAGAATGAGCAGAGAAAGACACAAAGGAAGTAGATGGCAGTAAAGGGAAGAAACTGACCATTTAGTGTTTTACTGTATGAAGCTGAGACACTGTGGGGTTTCTATGAGAGTATCTATGTGCTGAATGTTGCTGCGTGCAATAGGCATGCCCTTGTTTTAATGCGCGAGTCTCCAGAGAACTCGGGGCAGACGTGGCCTTTGACCTAAACCCATGGCTAGAGCTTTCTTCGTTTGGAGGCCATAACACCCTGAGCACCTTAATCAACCAGCGCCGATGCAGAATTCCAATTTCAGAATGCATTATTCTGCACTTGTAATCTTTAGTCTAAGGAGTTAAACCTTGACTGAATGATAAAAAGTGGCTTTCAAGCCAACGAGGCAGCAACCTCACAACCATCTGTTCTCTCTTTTGCTTTTCCAGAACACTGCAGACCTGTCACGATGATGCTTCTAAATTTGTGCACCTCTTGGCCAAGCCTGGCTGTAATTACCTGGAACAAGACGACTTTATTCCATTCCTGCAGGTACTGACTGCAGCACACCCAGGGAGAGAGCAGGACTTGGCAGTGTGGGATGGCAAAATTGCCCTGGCTTGGGTGGTGCAAACTGAGCTTAATTTGCGGCATGCCCTTCTGAGACCTTCCTTGTTTATGTAAAGAAGGGAGAATTTGTGGGTTGTTGTTTTTTTTAACATTGCCATGCAGGCGTATTCCTAATGCATGTTCATATTTTGTCACATTACGACCACATACCTGTGAGGGTTGTATTCCAATGTACTTCACTGCATTTTTTTTCCAGTTATATCAACACAAAGTGATGCATAATTGTGTAGTGGAAGGAAAACTGTTTTTGTTTTTTGTTTTTTTCTTGTGTACATTTGTATTCAACTCCCTGAGTCGGCACTTCGTAGAACAATGTTTTGCTGTAGTTACAGCTCCAAGTCTTTTTGGGTGGGTTTCCACAACATTTGCGTATCTACAGATTAAAATTCTAGACAATTCTGTTCACCTGACTAAAGACGATACAATTTGTTCTCTAGTGTTCTCCAAAATATTAGTTCAACAACCAGCTGCGATTTTGCTTGGCTTAACTTACACACAGACTCTTTAAGTATTTGCCCCTGATTTTATCAAGGGGTATCACAAATACAAGAGTGTCAAATACAAAATGTGTGCCACGTTTTTTTTTGTTTGTTAAAAAAAAAAAAAAAGTAGCAAATGTGTAGTTTTCCTTCCACTTTGCTTTAGTATCTCTGCTTGTGTTGTCATTCCATCCGGCAGGTTGTTCGTGGGCCAAACCGGCCCTTCCCTGCACCTGATTCACATTCATGCTTGCGTGCGAGAGCTTTCAGTCTGAGCCGAACACCGGTTAACGTAGCGGCAGAGAGTCTGTGTGGCACACGCTGTTTAATTTGTACGATTCCTCTCGGCGAATCGCCTTTGACTGTTTTGATGAATGAAAGGTGGATTGCAGTGGAGTAGATTTGACTGTCCCGGCCTGTTTCCTGTGGCCAGTGATTTATGTGTTTTCTATGATTTAATTTCTCCCAGTAAGAGTCAAAGAGGCATGACGGCTGCCACGGAATAAGGCCTTTTAATTTCATTGCCACCGTCGCATTTATGTCGACGCTTTCTTCCTTTGGTGGGTGCCAGGAAGGCTGGGTAGAGGAAAGGCATGAAGAATTGTTTTAATAAGACTGTAACTGCAGTTTATTAGATGCTTTAGTGACTTCATGGCATTATGAAAGTAGTAGTATTTGCTCAACTGTCTCACTCAGTGCTTTAAGATTTCACAGGAACATTTGTGTTGGCCGGCTTCTCTCGGTAATCTCTGATGTGCTTTCTGCTCCCATGAGAATTGTGACAAAATGTGCAAGAGGCCGACATCTGATGTCTCTATTAGCATGGATTCATACTCCTGTTCAGGCAGGCTTTGGGATATATCTTTCACAGATTTAAACCAGATGCTGACTGTTACTTAGCTTGTCTTTGAAAGTAACGGTGTAATTTACCAGAACGTATCTGTTAAAGTGGCGGTTGTAAAACTTCACAGGGCTAAAAATGATTGTTTCTTTTTGTGGAGCAAAAACTGAGTAAACCATCTGTACTTTATGCTTTCAGGATGTAGTGAACTCGCATGCAGGCCTGGCCTTTCTGAAAGAAGCACCGGACTTCCACTCGCGATATATCACCACGGTACGTGGGGAAAGAAAACCCATTCACAGGGCGATGGTACCGAACAGGGTTTTCTGTTTCTGTGTCATTTTTGGAAGTTAACACACCGCTGATTCTTTTCCAGGTAATTCAGAGGATATTTTACAATGTGAACCGGTCATGGACTGGAAAAATAACCTTTTCTGAGCTCAGAAAAAGTAATTTTCTTCAGGTAAATCTCATAATTGCTTTTTTTTTTTTTTTTCTTCTTCTTCTTCTTATATCTGGTGCTCCATGCAAATTTATTCATACACCCTTTAACATTTCCACATTTGGTCACCTTACAACTATTAACTTCAAAGTATTTTGTTGATACTCTGTTGGATCAAAGCGAAGTAGAAAATGGTTGGGAAATAGAAGTACTAAGACAAAATATGGTACATTTAGTCTCTCTTTAGTTGAACTGAAAAGTATTTATATTTGTCCCTTCAGAAGCTGAAGTCTTTTCCTATTTATCTTTGCAAAATAGCGTAAGCTGAGTAAGACCGGACAGTTCTGGCTTTACCACCTAAAGATAACGGTTGTTGGCTTTAAATATGATTTTATCAATCAAACCACATTTTATTTGTATAGGTTCAAATTACATCAGCATGTAAAGATATTAAATATTGCCTTATTTTAAGTACTCATTAAATACAGAGAGAGTTAATATTTTATAATTATATTAATACATTCTGCCACCTATGGACCTTTGAGGCATGTTTTGTTCATTATTTTTAATCCTTTATTTAAATGGGAAAATCTCTCGAGACTCATTGTCTCATTTACGAGAGAGATCCGTCAAATACATCAACAACAAATGGCATAAAAACAATAATAATAGAATCTAATTAACAATTCTAAGAATCAAATGTTCACAGTGATGTGCAGTTTTGTTGTTTTGTCGTTTACAACTGCTCCTTGTTTGTCTTTTACATTAAATATGTATTTTAAAAAAAAACATTGAATTTTGTGCTTGTAAGGAGAGAAACTATGAAAAAATTTCCAAAGATGGAATCTTTGTGAAGACACTTTTTTTTAATTTGGGGATACGTATATTATTTTTTTATTTTTTTTGTTAGATCATACTAGACTATTGGGTTGAATGTCACATGGGTAGAAAAACATTTTCCCGTTTTCCTGCACAGAATGTGGCGCTGCTGGAGCAGGAGGAAGACGTGAACCAGCTGACAGAATACTTCTCCTACGAGCATTTTTATGTGATCTACTGCAAGTTCTGGGAGCTGGACTCTGACCACGACCTCTACATTGACCAGAAAGACCTGGTGCGGCACAATGACCAAGGTGAACCAGTCGCCATCACTTAATCACATCAAAAACTCTTCCCTACCTTTTTATTCAACACCAAGCCATTAAATTTGCTCCATTTATGACATTTTTGTTATTTCTCCAGAATCTGAATGGGCTGATAGGAGAGTTTTGTAGCACCGTATTCGCTCCTCACCCCCAGCCAGTTAAAATAGATTAATCTCCCCCTCTCTTCACACCACATGTTTTTAGCTGATGATTCGAGGGTGAGGCAAGGGAAATAAGACACAAGATCAATAAGAGAGCAGCGTATATACTCTGCTTCAATGACGCCATGTCTGGAACAATTTCTAACACTATGCGGTCACAGCGATGACCACCGTGAGTTATGGTGCTGTCACAAAAACCGAACTGGAAAGAATGAGAACGGGGGCCACATGTGTCGAGTTGTTCGGTGACCAAGAGAGAGAGAGAGAGAGAGAGAGAAAGAGAGAGAGAGAGCTCTGTTGTAAGCCACCGCTCCACTTTGTGTTTTGCAGCCATTTCCCAGAAATTGATTGAAAGGATATTCTCAGGAACAGTTACAAGGTGAGTCGAGTATCAGAATATGTTGTTAATGTACGCTACCAGTATTTATCCTCTTTACCTGCTGCTGTTGTCATCAGGGACAGACGGGTGTATAAGGAGGGAAGGCTAAGCTACGCTGATTTTGTTTGGTTCCTCATTTCTGAGGAAGACAAGAAAACCGACACCAGGTATCTTGACATTTGGCCGCACTGATTGTATCATCCTTCGTTCTCGTTTTCTAAACCGATTGTATTTTTATTTTATTTTTTCCCTTTGCAGCATAGAGTACTGGTTCCGCTGCATGGACCTGGACGGGGACGGGGTGCTCAGCATGTATGAGCTGGAGTACTTCTACGACGAGCAGTGTCAGAAACTGGAGGCCCTGGCCATCGAGCCCCTTCCATTCGAGGACTGCCTCTGCCAAATGCTCGACCTCGTCAAGCCCGAGGTGGAAGGTCGGCGCTGTTTCACATTTATCCGCGTAGTGCTCAGTCCGGCTGTCCCCGGTGGCAGATGCACAGGCGCGTTTTCAGGCCAGATCATTGATCATCGGCCGAGGGAACGGTTACAGATGAGAGGACTAACTGGGCCGCCTGCGGCCAGCTGCTGGTGTCATCCACACTGTCAACAAATTCCCTCCAACACTTAACTCCTCCACTGTGTGATTTAGAAGTTCACAGTGGGGTATGCGTGTTTAGTATTGACGACCACTGCTGGAATGTGACCCAAGTGCAGCCCAATGGTGTGCTGCACGAGTGGAGTTGTATAAAATTACACGTAACCCAATATGGAACAACCTCTTCACCGAGATGTTTTTCCCGAACAGTAACTAGGCAGAGCGACCTAAAGTATTCGAACAGATTGTGCGGGGGGGGGGGCAGTTAAAATTCTTCAGGTAGGTAATATTATAAATTCAAAGAATATCCATACCGCTGCCAAGACGTGTAACTTTAAAGCCTATTGCTTCTCTGCAGCTGAGCAGAAACAGCTTTGAAGCCTTCGTTGTCTTTCCCGCAAATACACTAACTGACAAAACCAGGAGTTTCAGCTACTTTCCATGCAGACTGAGCGTGTGCATGGGCGGTTATACGGTTTTAAAAGTCAGGATTAGTATCTGGAAGGCGGCTGAAACATTGGCTACATTTCTTGCTCCGTCTTAAATCCCATTCAGTACAACAACACACCTCAATGGCGAAGTTTAGTCGAGGAAACAGTTGGACAAAATATTAATTTTAATTTGGTATTTGCTGATTAATCAGGTGGTTTATTGATTTTACTGGTTGCAGCACAGTTTTACCAGGACCTGCAAACTGGCTGAATATCAAAACAATTAAAGATTATTCCAAAATGATCGTTTATGATAACCTACCCCTAATTTATTTCCACTTTTAAACGCATAAAACTGTCTGGTAATGCTGGAATATATTATTAGTAATATTTTTAGAGTAAGCAAAGGCATAAAATGGACAAACGATATTCATTCTATTCCAGAATTATTCACACTGTTGTCACCTACTAAGTGAATGGAGTCCATCTGGATGCAATTTAAACTCATTGTAAATTCAGTTGCTTGGTAAATTTAAGAAATGTAAATACTTTTTAAAGCCACTGTTTGGGAACTTGAGAGTTTTTTCTTTTGTTTATTTTTGCATTGGGTAGATAAGATAACCCTGCGGGATCTCAAGAGGTGCAAGTTGGCCCACATCTTCTTTGACACTTTCTTCAACATCGAAAAGTACCTGAACCACGAGCAGCGGGACCCTTTCTCTGTCATAAGGGTGCGTAAGACGCGATGGGTCAGGGTCATCCTCCCATCAGAGGTTAGGTCCGTTTTCTAACCACTGCTGTTTTGTTTTGTTTCTTTTTTTGTTGTTGTTCCAAGGAGGCCGAGACGGACGGCCAGGAGGTCTCAGACTGGGAGAAGTACGCAGCAGAGGAGTACGACATACTGGTGGCAGAGGAGGCTGAAAATAATCAGTGCAACGATGTGTAAGTGTGACGGCAGAAAACAGCTGCAGCTCCAATAATCGGGGGGGGCAGATTTTATTAAAAATATCGACGAAGCGCAACGTCCACCTGTTGGGAGTCTTTCAGAAAAGTTTAATCTAGACATTTTCTGCTTCATCTGATTGTAGAAATACCATTGTGTTTTTAACTGACCGTGCTTTAGAGTTACATCAGTTAGAATTTAACGTTTGCCGTACATTTATTGATGCTAAGAAAGGACGAAAGAGAGCTTCTTAAAGGTGTTTGAGCTGAAAAGTCTGGTTGTTTTGAATTGTCTGTCATGGTGGCCGTTTTATGTAGCCAGCTTGCTCTGACTGAGGATAATGTGCAGCAGCAGATGAGCTCCCCCCAACCCCCGCCCCTCTGACAGTGAATCAGTGATAAAACCAGGCTGTTGACAGGCATGTTGTGTGGCGCTTTTAGGAACACCACTGACCTCTAAAGACAGGCAGCTCCCCAGAGAGCAGGTAAGACACTCAGGGTTTCAGCAGGGACAAGAGTTTTCCTCCTTCCCTTTTTTTTTTTTTTTTTGTTCCTTCTTTCTGGGAAAGTTTCACCCTTAAACCTACTCCTAGCGTCTATCCTCTCCCCGCCAAATATTCGCACATTCAAGACAGAAAGTAAACCTGGGAGTTTATTACCGAAACTTACATCTTTTACATTTAAATCTCTATTTTACCTGAGGTGAAAAACATGAAAGCTCCTCCACATCTGTCCCTGCCGTCATGTGGTGCTCCCGTGTCCTTTCCGGTTACGTCTGCTTGCTAAAAGACGCAGTTCAACGTCATGGATGAATCTGTTTTACTTGCTTTCTTGCCATGAAGACTAATTTCACTCATCCCGTCCTTTTGGCGTCCTTTTAAAGCTTTATCGGCACCATGTGGTGAGCTTGTAGAAAACCGGCGATCTCTCTTGGAGAGTTGTCGTCGACGAGAAAACGTCTTCTGCTGCCAGGTTTGATTATTCTTCAACTCCTGGCAAGAAAGCAAGCGTGTTTCCTGCCTGTGTTCATAGCATGGATACGTTTACCCCATATTGCTGTTGAATGTGTAGAAATGGCACAAGTTTTTAATTCATTTAAGAATATATGTTTTTGTCATTCTTTCTATCAAATTTAGCTCTCACACACAGTGAAATCCAGAAGTGTTGACACCCCTTGAACTTGTCATATTACAACCACAAAATGTCCCGTTTTAACCAGATGGGCCAACACGACTGCAGTTCAATTCAAAACTACTTTATTCATCCCAAAGGGAATAAATAAATCTACTTCATTTGCTTTTGTAAGATCTTTTCTGGTCATATGGTTAGATGTTGAAGTAGGAGATGTGATCCTTGTGATTGGTGGTTTAAACTTCTTCCTTCTCTCCTTTTCAACTCCTCTAGGATTCGGGTTCATAGTTCAGGGTATTATTTGAGCTTCGAAGCTAGTCGGCTGCTCACAGTTGTGCAAAAAAATAAATAACCCTGCATAACCCGTAGATACCAATTGTCCAAAAATGATTTTTTTAAAATCCTTCCAGCTGCACAGCATCATAAACCAGAGGGAACAATCGTCCCAAACATGCAGAACCAAAACCAAAAAGATTATAAACATTTTCTTTTTTTTTTTTTTTTTTTTTTTGGAAAAAGAACAAATCAGGACGTAGGAGAGCAACACCAACATACTACTGAGTCATGTAGTTCTAGAAAGACAGCAGCACATAAATGTGAAGCGAAAGAGAAATTGTGACAATCTGGAAAGAGTGACATGCTTTTGTTTTCAGCTCAGAGCTTCACTTTCCAGCAGGAACCAAAGATCTACATCTAAATCCAACTAATAATCTGCTGCAAGGCCTGAATATCGATTTCAATCTGACTGATCCGGAGCTTTGTTGCACAGAACATTAGCAGAATGGAGAAGGATTTCAGTTTTTAGATGTCCGACGCTGGTAGAGACGGAAAACCGTGCATCACCGTCCATCAGCTTTGTATTGGTCCATCCCGAAACACATTTAAAAAATCCCAATGAAATGCAGTTCAAAGGGTGCGAATACTTTTGCAGGAACATGTACCTGTTAGAAGAGCCAGCCAACCGACAAACAAGAAGTTTGTCGCTCGGCTGGCGCTTCGAACAGTGTCATAAATCTCGGAATACATTTTCACCATGATTGTTTTAAATCCAGCATTAATTAAAAGCACCTGGGCGTCCCGTAGAGAATTTCCAGAGGATTTATTGGTATCCAACCACTGTGTTATTGGTAATCCCCGTCTCCTTGTGTCTGTTTAGGTATGATAATCCCTTGAGCCCGTTGGGGCAGCACATCTCCAGCGAGCTGGGTCTGACAAAGAGACACTTCTTTGAGATCCCCACGCCACACTGCAACCTGGACATGGATGAATACGAGTACGAAGACGACTTCGAATGACGCCCCCCCCTGCCCTCTTCCATACATACAGTCAACGTGACGTGGTTATGAAAACAGCGTCACGCAAAAAAAAAAAATCAACAGACGCAAGACTCAAAAACCAGAAGACGCCTTAGACATCTCAAAGTCCCGCACGTCTAATGAACGAATGGTTTAAAAAAAAACGTGTGTGGCGCTGCAAGGTTTTCAGCACTCAGAGAGGCAATTTTATATTTTCATGTGTTACACTTAAAAAGAAAAATCACCAGAGATGACTTAATAATGTTGAAAGCTGTAGCTCTTTTTTTTTTTTTTCTTTTTTTTCTTTCTTTCCCTAGTGTTCCCTCCTCATGTTAAGAAGCCTTTACCGTCACGGATCATTCAGGGAAAGTCCTGCCGCACCAAAACATTGGAGTTGCCAAACGGCATTAGTTCTACACCAGATCTCCCTGAATAGTTTTTAAGAGACCTTATTGATTTCGTTCAGGGATCAGATTTATTGGCTAATGTTACATTCCACTAATCATATCAAAGGGTTTTTTTTTTTTTTCTACGAGGCTGTAAATGCTTAAAGGGTCTGTTGCTGTAAACTCCTAATGAGCCACAGTCTAAGCCTTCTGCTCGCCGTTCACATGACCACACACACACAAACCGCACACTGTACGCGTCTGCGTTCATTAGGACTTTAATGTAGAGTTGGGTTTCTAAATTATTTGAGATGAATTTATGAAGTATTGTACATATTTATTATGAGTTTGCCGTGTTGTAAATGATGTGGAGTTTTAGACATTTTTCTATGGTACAGAGTACTTTGCGTGAATGTGCTTTGAGAGGAAATAAAGGAACATTTGGGTTTTTTGCTTGTTTGTTTTTTATTAATAATGAAGCTTTAGTTGCAACAGTAAAGGAATAGTGCTGGTTTTTATATTGTATGACTAATTTCATCTGAAAAGAATGTGGGACATTCTCAGAATGTATGATTTTTTTTTTTTTTTTTAGTTTTTCCCAGTTGCCCGTTTTGCTCTGTCACCGTTTTACTTCTGCTGTGCACTCACACCTGCATAAATGTTCCGATGCCAAACACAATTTTTTTTTTTTGCATTTTCCACTCGCTTAAGGATTTGGCAGGAAGGGAAACACTGAGAAATGTTTTGTATATTTAGATAAAGTGGCAGAAAGGAATTCAGGGACAGGCTATGATGTAGTACTGGAAAAATAAATCCAAAATAAGAGTTCAAACTTTCTATTGGTCTAATATTTGAAATATTTTAGCTACAGTTATTAAAGAGACACTTATTTTACTGATCAATACTCTGGATGTCTCAATTGGGGCTTAAGAGCCATTTAGACAGTCGCTTTGTAGAAAAAAAACTAATTTCTAAGAAATAAACTTTCAATAGAATAAAATACATTCAAGTTTTTTAATACGGTCAATGACTATCAATAAAAGGCTACAGGTATTGTTTTATTCAAATTATTTACATTACAAATAGATATAAACTGTCATGACAATCATTGCCAACAGAGCCGATGAAATCCGACACAGATATAAAAAGCTAAAGCGATGAACTTAAAGATGTATTTTATTACAGCACTGTTTAAAAATATATATATTAGTCACATAATACAAATAGTCCTTGATGTAAAATCGTGTACGTGTAATCAAACCCTGATCGACCAAAAGGTTTAAAAGACACTTTCTAACTCATCCAGTTATGACTGCTTAAGCAGCGTCACACTTTGATAGAACATAAATCCACTGGGTGTCAAGTGAAAATCAGAAATTATACTTATGAGGCCGGAGGAGGAAAACGATGCTTCCAACTTCAGTGCTACAGAGTTGGTCGCTCTTTGCTGATATGTACAAAAGACGCTCTGGACAGTTTCACTCATCAGCCAAGGAGTTTTCTGTCTTGGGGCAGATACTTGGTTCATACTCAGGATTTCACAGACCGTTTCTCACTGAATTTACAACCTGTTGTAAGTTTGTAAGTACAAACTTTTCCTGTGATTTTGTAAAATGGTCAGGAAGTTTTATTATTCTGCTTTAAATACTTAAAAAAAAATAACTGTACACAAGACCTGTTTTATCACATGATCTTTGGGTTTTAAAAAATCCTAAAAAAAAAAAAGGTATTTAGCTTTATTTCTTAAACATTTAGGTGATTATGTTTTTGAGTTAGGAATTCCAAACTATCCAGATGTTGACATTGCTATACATTTCCATCCTTCTCTGTGACTCAGTGTTTCTGGTTATTCTGATATTTTTACATTTTTCTTGAAAATATTCAGTCTCTGAAAGTCGGTTCAGTCTTAATCGGTGATTTCCACAGGGTTCCCACACGTCTCTATTTTAAACTTCCAGGCCTTTCCAGTCACAGTTTCCTAGATTTTTCCAGCAATTTTGCCAACATCACATACACCTGCTTTTCAACATCTGGGATAATACACCATTAAGGTTTTTCATGATAGGGTTTAAATGTAGGTTCATGATATTCGGTACTTTCTTCTAATTCTACAAACTAAAGTATTTCAAAAATTTTATTTCTGTCAGGAAAACTAAAACCTCCCTTTCTTAATTCCTGAGTGTGCATTCAGTTTTGGGTTTTCAGTTAGTAACGTTTGCAATGAAACAAACTAGAATATCATCAAAGTATTAATCCCAATGTTTCCCTAATATATATTTAGTTTAAAAGAATTGAACCTAGGCAGGAAACATTTTTTATTGTTAGTTTGGTATTCTCCATTCTTATCTAAACCTGGAAAGCTGTAAAAGCAAAATTTCTCATTTTTCAAGACTGCATAGGAACCCTGTATCCTTTTATAGTGTTTCTTAGTTTGGCACTACTTCAACTACCAGCTTATGTCAGGTATCAAGTATTACTGGAAACAAAAAAGTGCTTTAAGATATGACACCAAAAAAAACAGTAAATGACACAAACAGCATTAAAACTTAAATGACATGATTTGGTTTGGGGTGTTTTGGTCATATTTTCCCCGTCAGAACTTAAAATAGAGATTATTTAAATCGAACAAAGCGTTGGAGTCTTGATCTCTGCACAGCCTAACGAAGTGGACACCAGTTATCAGGTGCAGATTTAGAAGAGACGGCTAATGGAAGTCTTGTCCAGACGGGAGAGACGGTCCGCTCCCACTTCCTGGTCCTCACAGCTCGATGTCCACGCTGCCGTCATCCGACTCGCCGTTGATGCCGAGGACGGTGGCAGCCATGTTGAAGCTTCTTCCGTGGAGCTCCGGAGGGACAGAGAACGGATCTGTGTCACCCGGGTTCACCTGAGAACTGAGGAGGTGACTTGGGTAAAAAATAATGTGAAAAAAATGGCTTTTATGAGAGAGGAGAGTTAGCTTTATCACCTGTGGCTGAAGCTGGGTTTATTAACCTTAGTGACTTGTTCAGTTGGGCGACCTTGACTTGGGGACTTGTGTCCTAAAAACATAATTAAGAGGTAAAACGTGTCGGCAGCCAACTTTTCCAGATTCAGTTCTTTATAGTCATTTTAAAATATGAAACGCCAAAGTTCACCATTAAATTATGACAGAGGAAGGAAAGAAGGACACAAGAAAAAATGGAGGGAAATGAGAGAAGAGCAAAAAAGAAGGAAACAAAGCAAGGGAAGAAGGATGAACACAAAGGAATGAAAGAAAAAGGGAAAATAAAGACGGGAAGTACAATAGAAGACATGAAACAAGAAAAGTAAAGATAATGACACTACAAAAGGAAGGATTAAGTAAAGGAAAGGATGGATACAATTAAGGACAGGAAGAAAAAAGGTAAGAACAAAATATATTGTTCAGCTTAGACAATGAAGGGAAGAAAGGAATTACAAGAGAAATAAGAAAGAAAGTAGGACAAAATAAAAGAAATGACAAGTATGCATGGACAGAAATACAGGAAATAAGGACACAAAGAAAAGTATAAGAGAAAGGAAAGACAAAAATGTAAAAGAAAGCAGGGAAGGAAGGATGAAGACAGGAAATAAAGTCTGGAAATATTTTTTTCCAGGCTCTTCTTTTGTTTCTCCAAACTTACCCAGAACTAGAAGATATTTAAATCAAGCCCCCTAGTTTTTCCAGACTATGCAGGCGCCCTCTCTCATTCTGCAATGAAAGGCGCAGGGGTCCATACCTTCCAGCTTTTGTTTGGAGACAGGAGAGCGACTGTGAAGGCCGGGCCTCCTGTCTGAGCTCACATACGACACGGCGTCCTCCATTTCTGCCACGGCCAATAAAGTCGCGCGATAGTAGATGAGCGGCTGCCAGCACTCCTCCCTGAGGTCAATTATGTGCTCTGCGGTGTGTTTTTGCAGGTAGGAGAGTCTGAGAATAGAAAGGGAGGGAATAAAAATAAAGAGTTTGAGAAATGTCAAAGTTCATATTCCTCCAAGTTGCCCGTTGCTTGCAGCACTCACACTGCCTTCTTGTCTGGCTTGAGCAGTTTGTTGGAGAACTCGCTAAGGATGGTCAGGTAGGAGAGGTACGGCGGCGTTGCGTTGTCTGGAGCCTGTCGGAATTCTTGGAACACAAACTCCACGCCGTTCCTAAAACACGTTCGCACGAGAACTTGAGCGAACGGAAATGGGAACCGACACGAATCCGAAAACAGTCGGGAGAGATGCGAGGAGCGCCTGGCTGACCTGTGGATCATGACGAGACACTCACGAAACTTGACAAGGTCTCCGAATGTGAGGGCGAAGCGCCTGGCCAGCTCCTTAATGCAGGTGAACGTCTGCACTCCCGAGTGAGCCCTGCCACCGCTCTCTTGTTCCCGCTTAAGCTGCACAAACAGCTGGGGGGAAATAAAAAAAAAAACACATCAGCAGCTGTGCTGACAGAAGAGGAGGTTGATTTTTTTTTTTGTTGTTTTTCGATGAGCAAACCATGTTGTACCTGCTGCAAGCAGAGCACCAGAGTACGAGTGCTCTCTATTTTATCCGTCTGTCTGGTCCTGGAAATCGTTTCCTTGATGATGTCGCCGAAGTCGCTGTAATGCTGGGGACAAAAAATAAATAAATAGAGTAATTTTGCAAAATGTTACTGAAAGATGCATCATTTGACTTCATGCAGAGCACCAGCAGCCAGCTGAGAATACACACAGTTTTTAGGCAACATTTGAAACTGCAACTTAAACTCATAATTTGGGGTTGCTTGGAACCCTAACGTCTTATCCCAACACTGACACATAAACTATTTATCAGCACTCTTGACCGTTTGTATTTCTTTAAATCGTTTAAGCCTTAGTGCAGCTGAACTGCACGATGATGCATATTTGACACATACCCTAATAAAATGTTCTACAAACCAGAACTGCAAAAATTGTTTAATTATGAAATTACCAATTATGCCTAATGTCACTAATTTACATCATATCAAACCTTATATGCACTGGACATGCTATATTCAAATGAACAATCTAAATTTTTTTTTACTTTTTAGAAGAAACATTATTTCAGGAAGTTGGGGATTATAACATATACATTCACCCTCTGTCATGAAACTTCTTTTGTTTAGTATTTGAACTAAAAAAATAAAGAGAAAAAAATTCAGCAGTACTTTACTACTAACACTACAATAGTTGGTAAATAACGCTGGTTTTCAGACTTCAACATGTGCAACTCTGGTTCGATGTCATTACCAGGAAGTTTAACTTCCGAGGCAAATTGAATGTATCACTAGATCCCAAACTTTCAGGTTGTTTCTTTTTGATTGTATTTGGAAGTAATATATCTGTTTTTTTGTTTGTTTGGTTGGTTGTTTTTGTTTTTTTTTTTACTTCATTCCTGTGTTGGGGGGGAAATTGCTCTTTGGAAAATTTTGCACAATAATGAAATACCAAATATCAACCAAAAGCAAAGAACATCTGGTACAGAAATGAAAAAGTTGAGTTATCAAAATGTTAATTTTTTTCAGAAATTTTTATGATGCCTCTTTAGAAAAATTCTATTAAAATATTTATTTATTCAGTGACTGAATTTGGGAAGTAAAATTTAAGGCTGTTCTTAGACAAAATGTAAAGAATAGAATACACAAGTTTTTGCTGTTGTCAAATGTAAAAAAAACAAAACACACACAAAAAAAACAAATAAGGATTATAACTTTAACCCTTTCAGAAACAAGAACTTCATTGATTTTTGCAACAACAACAAAAATCATAATAAATCTATGAACGTGAACAGATGCGATCTCCAGCATCCGACCCATCCGACGGAGTTGACCTTCACCTTCACGTAGTGCGTGTAGATTTCTGCCGCCGTGCTCGTCTCCAGCACGCCGTGTACGATCAGCTTGCAGTAGGCCGCCAGCAGATTCCTTCTTCTGTGAAGCTCCTCCAGCCTCTCCACTTCAGAGCTCTCACTGACTGAGGAAGAGGAGGGGTGGGGGTGCGGTTCAAACATGTGATTGGATGTGAATTGGTCAAGAAGGACAAAAAAAAAAAGAAAAGAAACGAAAAAAGACGAGGAGAAAAATATGGGAATGACGTAAAAAAAAGAGGGATTAATCACACAGAATCATATAATGGAAAGGAAAAAAAAAAGAACAAAGCCTAAATGGGTGAGAGTGAGAGTTTGAGTCTTGGGACGATGGCTTTAGCAGGTGGAAATCAAAGATAACATCAGACTGTGGTTATGGGTGTGACACCATGTGGCTTCAATCTTTCACAAGGCTAATAAAATGGTCTCGGAGGCGAGCCAGAGTTAATGGAATTTTCTCACGGAAAGAGATTTCCCTTATTTTTTTTTTTTTTTTTTTTTTTTGATTTACCTCAGTGCCCCTGCCCTCTGAGTGATCTCTGATCTCCCGGGCTAATAGAAAACACTGTCCATATAACAAAATCATTACCAGGAATATCCAATAAAACAATAGCTTTTTATTACATGTTCAAAAACCAATAATCCTGGATTACATTTGCTTGAACATTTAAGAGAGTCCCACCAGGACAGTTATTGGCTTTTTCCCGGACTTCTCCCACATTCTGGATGCAATATGTCTGCGGAAGGCAGAAGCTGCTGTGAGAGACAATGAAACATTTCGGATGCGGTGAATGAATTCAGACGTTTACCAGCAGGACTCTGCAAAGAAATCGCCCCTTTTTTTATATATATATTTTAGTTGTTTTTTTTTCTCCACTTTCTACATGTCACTCTTGTTTTCCTCATTATGAATCAAAGAGGAGCGCGCCGCCATCGGGTTTACACGCTGCATCGCTTTGCATAACAAAGTCGAACACGCTTCCATACAAATTAGTCAATCCTGTTTCAGTCTGAAGGTATTAACGGGGCCTCCTTTGTAATTGGGTGAGGGGGTCAATTGTCGGGTCAGGTTGGAAATCGGGAGACGTTTACAGTCGGGCAAGCGGCTCTGCTGCGACTTACTGAGCCAAACGTGTGGCCGTGCATTTAATAATCGGCGCGGCTGTGAGCTCGGGAAGCTGCGGGGTTTTCTACTCTGAGGCGACGCAGAGCGACAGCGCCATCTGCTGTGCAACGCTGCAGCTAAAGCAAAGTTCTCCGCACTTAACTTTGTGTGCAACTCTTTGCACTTTTACTCCTCTGCCGGCCTCGCACAAAAACAACGACAACAAAAAACAACTTTATAAAGCTGAATCTGTTTTCCTGTTTTTGTATTTTCCTGTTTTTTTGTTATTTTTTGTGGTGCAGATAAAAAGTTAAATCTTGTCATCTTTTAAATGTTGGAGAACATTTGCCTTCTCTGATGGTTTGATCTACCTAAATTGCAAAGGCCCAAAATGTGCAAATGTTTTTGGTTTCATCAAAAACATCACTTTTTTTTTTTTTACATAACATACGTTTTAATTTTTTTTCTACCCGCTGCTCCGTTTTTCCTCGTAATATCCTCATCAAGTTTAGAAGGAAACCTACAGCTTAATCTAAATAAGACTGAATATCATCGTCAAGTTTATTCACTTCAGCAATTCAATTAATTAAATCAATTACATTAATTAATTACACACAAAGCAATATATTTCAAGGACTTATTTCTGTTAACGTCATCGATTGTTGCTTGCAGCCTACAGACTCTCAGAAAACTAGACTATCACATACCACCAATTAATAAAAAAAGAGGACGTTTAACACAAAAATGTTATGTTATGGTCTACAAACATGGGGAAGGCTGCTGACACTCTCCAGGAGTGTAAGCCTCAACAGATCATTAATTAGTCTAATCCTAGCACAATGATAGAAAGTTGAGTGGAAGGAAGAACAAAAACTGTGATGGAGGTGTTCAAGCAACACTGGTTATTGCGGTCTTGAAAGGATTTCAAAACAAAGTCCATTAAGCAGTTTGGTTTTCATGCTTCCCCCTGCTGACAAGTTTTATGGAAATGTTGACGTCCGACAGCTCAGTCTAAAAAAAAAAAAACTAAAACTAATTGTACTAATTGTCTTATTATAAGTTTATGAGTTTCTGAGAAACTGAAGTTTTATGATTTTCATTAGCTGAAAGCCACAAGTGTCAAAATGATGAATTAGGGCAGCCATTATGAGTATAATCTAACAAACCATGATAAATTCTAAATAACATGTTTACTTGAAGAACTTTGTCCCATTTTATTCTGTGTTACTTCATTAAACTTAATTCTTATTCATGCTGATACCATTTTAGCATCATCTTTTTTTTTCTTAATTTCTATGCACAGACAAAGACAAAAAATATCAAATAAACACAAAGTAACTATATCAAATAATATTTGGAAATTAGATATGTGTCTAGCATGTTTTTCATGTGAAAACAACATCTTTTTTTTCTGGCTAATGTCACAAACATCCTGAAGTTTACACCTTCAACTTCTGTCACAACTTTTTGAGATAAAAACCCTCAAATGACGATCATTTAAATTGGCAGGAAAAATATTTTATGTGGATAAATAATTCTCTATATGAAGGTTAAAGTGAAATAAAACAGTAAACATGCTGAGACCTTACCTCTGCTCTGGTTGTCGCCGTCTGGGACAACAAACACGTTCACGCATACGAAGGTGAGCAGCGCCCTCTGCAGTTTGGGACTGGGAGTGTAGAGCAGAGGGCCGAAGCAGGTGGGATCCCACACCTGCAGCTGGTACGAGTGAGCCGTCAGGACATCGCACACACCCAGGAACGCCTGAGGAAAGGGAAAGGTTAGGAAGGAAGGTGGGAAGATGTTCTTCGGCCCGCTTCCCGCTGTACCTGATTCTTCACGCTGTGGTTGCAGTGGGAGAGACACCGGTAGCTCCTGTCACAGAAGAGACGCAGCTGGAGCCTCTGGGCCACAGCTTTCTCCTAAAAGAAAAGAAAAAAACAAACACATTGCATCTCCAAAGTTTTCCAAAGGGATCACAAAGCTAGAAAAATGAATCCACTTTTCCAGACAGTGAAAACAAAAATCATGCTAAGCATAAATCTCCTAAAATTGACTAGATATATGACCTGTTTGTTTGTTTGTTTGTTTTTTCCTTCTTTTTTTTTTAGAAATATTGGTAAAGTTCATTTAAACTGGTTGATTTCCAAACTTCATCCTCAAATGAAAGCAATTTAGTGAGAATCAAGCCTGCATTGACCTGACAAACAGCGGACTACTGTAACCGTTCACAGCAAGTCGCATGGAAACAAACACTGAACTATTTGGCTGTTATGACATGGAGTTTATACGGAGGAGTGAACCTGAAGTTTTCACACATGAGAACACTTTATCGGCTGTCAAGCACGGTGGCGGCGGCATCGTGATAATCCTACGACTGTTTTTAACATGTCGGTGTTTGACCAGCCCCTTGGGGACAAATAAAGGTTTTACTGAATAGAATTGAATTGTGCATTCTAAAAGCTGATGGAATACTTAAGAAGGAGGAATACCTCCAGATTTTTTTTTTTTTTATCGCAAATTGACAGCTAGATGGTTGAAAGCTGGAGAAAGTTGGATGTTCCCACAGCACGATGATCCCAAACGCACATCTAAACCGGTTTTGGAGTAAACGAAGCTGGCTAACATTAACGCCCAATCTATTGGAATTTGAGGAACCGAATCGTGAAAACGAACCAGTTCAAATGAACTCTACCGCTTCTGTCAAGAACAGCAGTCAAATATCCAGTTAGAATCGTGCCGGAAATGTGTTGCTGTAGTTTGGCATCACCAGTGAAAATCAATGGGGATCGATTTTCCCATTAAACTGAATCCTTATGTGAAGTTTTCATTATATGTGACCTAAAAATATCGTCAATAAATCTAATTTTAATACCTAAAATGCGTTGAAATGACGCATCATCATCATCCATCCAGACAACACTTCAAATACATGATAAAAAAAAAAATCTAAATTAACATGGAATCCATGCCCATGATGTGTGCATTTAAACTTTACAATTAAAATAAAGAATATAGAGTAATCAGAGCCAAATAAACAGTACAGTATTTTTCTTGATGTACATTTTAACTGGAGAAAGAAAGTTCCCTACTCATAACAAGTCTTCACATACAAAGAAGTTCAAGTACACTGCTACAGTGAAAGCAGGATTCAGATTGATCATGGATATCATGGTGCAGATGTAACTCACCCTGCATGTTAGAGTTTGGCTGCTCGTACTGAGGGACCACAGCATGGCAAACGACATGCACTGCAGTGCCTCCTCCAGCACCTGCGGAAACAACACCTGATCAGAGCAAAACGCTGAGAACAAAAACCATCAAAAAGTGTCTACGGTGACTTAATGACGGTACCTCTGGCGGTGGTCCTCCCAGGCTGCCGTCCTCCGTCAGGAGAGGAGACAGCAGCTCAAACACGCTCCATCGACTGAGGTCATGACAGCTAAAACAGCGCAGACAGAGACAGGTTGGACCAGGATCGATTTAGAAGCAGCTTACACTAAACTGTTGAGTTCGCTGCGCGTCCTCGTCGGTCAAATCTCACTTGTGGAAAGCTCTGAGTTTCTTCAGTGTCGCTACAATTTGACTCGTCTCGTCTTCCTCAGCAGAAAAACAGCCGCGCTGCAAGAGAGCGGATAAACAGAAAAACTACAGAGTTAGGTAGGATTCACTGTTTATTTCACAGAAAATAAATCAATTCTACGCTTGTGAACAAAACGTAAGACTTCTCTAATTAAATTATTGGAAAAAATTGAGGCCTGTCAGTTACACAGATCTTCTATTTTCTAAAACCAAGTGATTTTTGGAAGTGTGAATAGTTCCTGAACAACATTCCACTAAAAAAATCTGTATTTTTTATTCAAGGCTCTTTTTTTTCAATATAACTAGATCAGCTCTAGTTAGAAATCCATAACATTTAGACTTTCCAAATGTTTATTTTACATTTTAAAATGTATGTAACTTTAGTATAAGATTTAATCTGTTTTGATAAAAAACAAGAAGGGTTTCAATGCATAAAACAAATACATGTGTAATTGATATCCTTGATCTAAGAAAGTTCAGAGTCCAAAACAGCTGTTAATTTAAAAATATATATATATAAATTAACTAATTGAAATTTGTGTGCATTTATCTGTGATTCAAAATACAGACGGATAAATCAAACTGGACAAAGACTCAAGTTGTGATGTGGTGAATTAAAGATAAATGACAACTTAAATGCGAGTTCAAGCAAAAAAATATATATATTTTTTTCAGGAATTCAGATTTTTATCTGAAGCCTGGAACCGCAAACATTTTCCCATAACACATTTTCATCCCCCCCCCATACTTATCAAGCCCTGGAAAATCATAAAGCCCAACTTGTTCCAGACTTTTAAATATTGCATAGGAACCCTGAGCGCACATGTTGGCCACTGCTTGCTTATCTCTTCAGAATCTAAAATTGACAAAAGTATGGAACTAAAAACAGATGACGGCTCGTCTGAGCACAACAATTTTCCAAAAAATATATATTTGGCTGCACAAAGGGGAACCGAGACGCCTACCCTGAGCGACTCCCCAATTGTCTCTGTCAGTCGGTCCACCCAGCGCTGGACCAGAGAGTCCCGTGAGGCTCCGGCCGCCACGGCCCAGGCTGCGCCATCGCCACACAGACTGAGGTATGTTCGAGCGGCTGCTTCCAGAACCGCAGGGCCCGAGTGAAGGTCCAAAACAGCTGCCATCTCTGTCATCAGGCTTGAAACTGACTGCACAAATGGCATCATACAAAATGGTTATGAACTATTTTTGTTCGGTTATGCCATCAACTAAAGACACGAAAACAAAAAACCCCAGAAATGATATTTGATTAGTTGTCTTCCTAAAGCTCCTATTGCCTAACTTTTCCATGTAATTTTACAAAAAAAACAACAACAAAAAAAAATCTATCAGTACTGAAAGTCAACACACAAAAACACTGAAGAACTCTGCAGAGGACTGACGAGACGAACGAAATCAGATGTTGTTTAAAAGGTAAACTAGAAACACTTTTTTTCCCCCCGCATTTTAAAAATAATAGTTTTTTTAATTTTTATTTTTTAAACTCACTTATCACGAACTGTTTTATACCCAAACACACTGCAGATTAAAATATTTTATTATACAATATTGATCTGGCAACGATGCAGACCTGTGTGTTTTTAGCCTCTTGACTGTCTGGGTGGAAGTACTGAGGAATCCGCATCAGGGAAGCAACAGTGTCGCCACTACATGAAAACTGCAGAAACACAATAAAATAATTCACATTATTATTATTTTATTTTATTTTTATTTTTTTTTACCACATGGAGTGAACTGAGCTTATTGCATGGACTGCTGCATGTGGTGTAAATACCTTGGAGAGTAACTTGGGAAGCACAGAAAACAGATGTTCAGTGAGCTTTAGACAGTCGTCAGCTTGAATTTTCTTTTCTCTATTGCTCATGATCTGTTAGTGAACAAAGCTCAAATTTAAAGCCGCAATGTTTGACCAGATTAAAAGAGAGATATCATCCAGCCTTCTTTTTACCTTCTTGGCCCCGCTCCTCCCTACCAGAGCTGGCCCCTCTGTGGCCTGACGTACCGACGCAACCAGGATCTCCACAATCACCGCTTGTTCTGCCGGAGTAAAACCTACAACACAAAAACACCCACGGTTTGAGTAACACCTGTACAGTATATTAGTAAGATATTGTAAAATCCTATGAAATTCTGTAACTACTGACAGATTTGAAGAGTTTTCTTGCCCCCTAACTCACACACATGCTTTCCTACCTGAGCTGTTCTGCAGCAGTGCAGCTGTGAGTGTGGGCCAGTCTTTCAGCAGAGACCCACCACAGTCCCAAAGGCTGTCCACCAGGTAAACGACATGCTTGTGAAGCTGAAGGTTTACGTGATAAAAAAAATAACATAAAAAATCATCCATTAAATATGAAATGCAACAAGCATTTTTTTTTATAAACTAAAAAAAATGTAAAAACAACCTGTCACCTCAGACTCCTGATAAAACCGCAGTAAAGCTTTAAGTCGGTCAAACATCTGTCGTCTTCGCTCGTCCTCTTCGCTCCTTTCACCCTGATCATCAGAGGTAGGAGCTGCAGCACTGAGAATCCTGAAACAGACCAATGGCGCCTCTTGATTTTGTCAAAACAAGTAATTAGTACGTTTAGCCAAGCGACGGAGGCGTTTTTACCTTGAGTAGAGCAGCTCCCCTGCGGTGGCTGAGAGGGGCCGATGAGAGGAGTAAACGACCTGAAGGAGCTGCTTGTAGTCCTCAGACGTCAGCACGTCGTCTGTGGCTCTGGAGAGAGAAGGATTATGAGAAGGGAGGAGAAAAAAGCAAAAAGCACAAAAAGAAAATAGAAATCAATAACTTACCTGGAGATTAGCACCAATAGTTTCATGGTCTGCACTGCCACCTCATTGTCCTTATCTAGCACCATGGAGATCAGTCGATTCTGCCACGCAATGGGACGGAGAATGAGCAATGACGATAAAGGACGCTTGGACCTCAAGGAGTTATATGGACATTTTAACTGAAAGCTTTGATCAAATATTTTCATAGTTCTTATTTTAATATATCCCGGGATTTATTTTTAAATAAGTACTAATATTAAATATATCCCTTTCAAAAGTATTGACCTCTTAAACTTTTTGTTGTTTTACAACAACAAACTCTAGAATGTTTTGATTGGTATTTTATGTGACAGTTCAACACAAAGGAGTGCAAAATTGTAATTTGAAAGATAAAGGACCACTGGTTTTCTATTTTTTTTTTTTTACTATATGTTTATTTCTTACAAAATTAAAAAGAGTGAAAAGTGTGGCAAGTATTTGTTCCTAGACCCCTGAGTAAGCATAAATGCCTAGTAGGTGTCTTCCAACAACCAGCTTTCTTCCTTTAGTTCCACCATTTATGCCAGATTTACTGAGTCTATAACTGATAGTTTGTGTTGATAGAGCCACCTGAGCTGTCAATCGCTGCAACTCCTCCAAAGTAACCATTGGCCTGTTGGCTACTTCTCATTCTGGTCGATAACAAAGATCTACTCTATTCTACAATCTGATTAATCTTCTCTAATATGCCTCATACCTCCGTACTGTATTTATACTGAGATTAAACTGCACACAGATTGACTCTACCCACCAATTAGCACAACTGATTGCACTCCATTTTATTTAAGGGGAATCAGATTAAAGGCACCTCACTTTTTTTATTTTTAACTCATACAAAGCTTTCAAAGTCATATTTTTCTTCCAATTCCACAGTTTTGTGCAACTTTCTGTTGGGCTGTCGCAGAAAAAATACACTAAAGTTTGCAGTTGTGACGCAATAAAATACAAATAAGTTCTAGGGGTGTGAATATTTTTGCATTGTGGGCCAGATATAGGTATTCGTAAGACATAGTGTGCAGCTGAAGGCTTTAAACAGGGAGTTCGTTTACCTTGAAGCGACTGATGAACAGATCCAGTTTAGGGAGCAGGACAGGATCACCGAACAGACCCTGCAGAGCTAACACACACTTCAGACGCACATCCGGTACCTGAAATGTGACGTATAAAGATTTCAGCTTGTTTTCAGGATCTGAAAAGCTGCTTGAATCACCTGTAATTAGGCAGCCGCTGACCTTATCGTGCATCATCCAGCCCATGTATTTGAGGTAACTATCGTTGAGGAATGACGAACTGTACAGCTTCATCCACAAGCCCAACTCCTCCATGCAGACTGAGCGAATTTCTGGAAGCATATCCCTGCTCAAACATACACAACATATGCGGAGTGTTACCTGTCGACATGAAAACACTACAAACGTTTTTAAACAAATAAAATAAAGTGAAAGCGGCAATGTAAGAAGTGTTGTGTACCGATATCTTTTAAGAAAAACCCCTTTGAAGATGACGTCCATCATGCTCTCGACCTCCGCCCTCTTTTCCTGCAACTTTTAGAGACGTCAGAAGGCGTTAAAATTCTATTCAGTCACACAAAGCAAGCATTCAGTCCCCCAAGCATCTTCAATCCACAGATCTCACCTCCGAGATCTTCTTCTGCATCCTCTCCAGTTGCTGGGTCTTTTGTCTCACCGTCTTCGTCCTCTGCACGTTGTACAGCTTCTGACTGTTTTCGATCCCGACGCTCAGGCTCAGAGCCACGCTCAGCAGAGAGCTCAGCAACTTCACCGCTTGACACACACACGCACGTTCAGATCAAAGAGTCCACGTTAAATCATTTAATGATTACCGCATTTGTGTGTGGAAAGCCAGACGGACCAAAACCACCTGATGTGTGTGTTTTTGAGGCTTTGTTCACGTTATTTGCAGAGTTTTCATGTTGCTTATCAAGTATGTGTTAGAGTCAACTTTTAAATAACATTTTAACAAAACATCTGACACAAGCACATAGAAGAAATTAATAATAATAATTTGAAAAAAAAAATTTAATCATGTTTTTGGCCCTGCTGGACTTCCATATTTGCATCCGCGTGCGTCTCATCTCTTACCCGCGAGTGTGCACGTGTGTCTGAACGCCCTTACGTATGAGTTGGACAGCTCAGTGAGCAGCGAGATGAGGCTGTTCATCAGGTAGCTGTCAAAAAGGACGCTGTGCTGACACTGAGCCACCAGCACCGACACAAAGTCGCAGAACTCCGAGTGAAACCAGCGACCGGACGGCCCGGACTGCACGAGTGGATACTCTGCACTGTCCTACAGTTTAGAAGGAAACAGGAAGAGGATTCCATCTCAGAGCAGCAGAGATTTGAGCGTGACAAAATGACAAATAGCATCATTATATCGTAGAAGAGTATTGCAAAGTGGCGAGATTGTTGTGGTACGTTTACGTTCCACATAACTGCTAGGAAAAGATGTTTAGCACAGCAACTCAGACGTGTATTAAAAAATACAATCATCTGAAATCATCAAGATTACAGACACAACAAATCTGCTACAGAAAGAAAGCATGTACTGACTGCATCCATGGGCCAGGTGACGGTCAGAATCCACGGAAAAGCAAGGAATCGCTTATACTGCAGACCAACAGCCTGAAACGCACAGACGTCCACATCTGTTTGAGTCAGCCTCTCTTTATAATCACACAGGGGAGAGGACAGGACAAAATGTAGAGGTGTTTACCTCATCCAGCTCCTCGACCATTTTGCTCTTCACGTGCTTGTCCTCTTTACTCTGGCACATCTCTGCCGTGACCGCGCCTGCAGAGGATGCGAAAACCGAAGGACGCACACATGAAACCGGTTCTGTGTGTCTGGCGTGTTTCTGGCTGCTGGAAGGAGATTGAAATTGTGCATTTGTGTACGAATCGCTTGCCTTTGCAGCCACAGCACTGGATAAAGAAGCTGATGAGGTCGAGTAGAGAGGCGTCTCTGTCCGTCACGTATGCCTCAATCCAATCATCGATCACTGCCTGTCCAGGCACCAGATAATAATCAGAGAATTCATTTATGCTAGGACATATTCTTACTTAACTCTTGGTTTAATAGGAAGAGCCTCAGTTTTCCTTTTATCTGTTATCACCACTTTATTTTCACCTTTACTGAGGTGAAGACATATTTGCCCTCTTACAGACATCGTTTGATTGTGCTTTGTTGTCGTGCTTCAAATCATGAAACTCATTTTAATATCAAACCAAGAATTGTCCTGAGTTAAAAAACAAAAAGAAGTATTTTTTAAAATATTATTTCAAAATGAAACAGAACTCCCCCCCTGTAGTCGGCATGCCTAAAAGCATTTCAAAGTCTGTGGGACTCCATCCAACAAGAAAATATGGCATCCACTGAAAAGGAGACACCCGCCTTTTTCAAACAAAGGCCTGCATCACATCCTAAAACAGCATCTTACCTAACTGAAAATCTCTACTGAAGCAGATGTCTACCAGCAATGTATGCTGGGTAAGCAATCTTACCTGTATGGCGCTCTTGCCCATGGTGATCACCTCAAACAGGGTGACTGCCTCCACTTGCTTCTCTTTGGCGCGTTTGCCCCGTGCCCTTCGAACGCTGCTGCCGCTGGCTCTGGCTCTTTTGCTCTTGACATTTTCCGAGACGCTGCACGCTCTTCTTCTTCGTCTCTACATAATTACATTTTCATTTTATCAGTAATGACACTGACATTTCAAATTTAAAACTCATGACAGTCTAAAAAAAAAAATCAACTATGGCGTAAAAAATATTCACAGATATTTTCTAAACTGGATCACTAAACTTCTAAAAGGTTTATAGTCCATTGTATAATCAAGTTATCCATCACACTATTTATTTGGAAACATTTTTTTTAAATGTACTGGAAATATCACAGAAATTTCCTCATATATGTGGTTGTAATTACACAATGTGAAAAGGTTCAATTGAAATCAATAATTTTGCAAGCCAGTGTTCATCTATAAAAGCATCCCCACACTATTACTTTAGTTAATGAGTCCTGTCACTCTATTCTTGCTTTGCATTTGCATTTCTGCAGGAAAACAGAAGAAACCCACCACACTCTTCTGTCGGTTCTCGTTCCCTGACTCATCCTCAGAGGGACTGATAGCTCCAGAGGAGGTCGCCTCAGCCTGAGAGTTTGCACTGGAAAACCAAACAAAACAAACAAACAAAAAAACACACACACACAAAAAAAACATAATCATATTTGATTACATAAATCTAGAAGGAAATTTAAAACTACATCAAAATAGCGTCATCCAGTTTTGGTGACCAATAGTTACTTTTTCTCTGAAGACCTGGATGCGGCTGCAGCAGAAGGTTCTGGTATCATCTCCTCCTTATATCTTCACACCGGACTCACCATGATGTAATGAGAGGGATGCTTGTGCAGACAACAACAACGTGCGTTCGTAAACAATAACAAAAGCTCGCAACTTCGCTTCTTTCTGTAGGAGCAGCTGTTAGTCTCAATTAGTCAAAAAATAAAATAAAATAAAAAATCAGAGTTTAGCAGATGTAAGGTGGTTAAACTGTACAATTTATATTAAGTGTGCGTTAAAAAAAAAAACTAATTACCATCCGTGAAATTTTAAAGAAATACCAATAGCTTCTTTAATCCGATAAAACAGCTACAGCACATGACAATAAGTAGACAATAACCTGTAGGTGACTGTTACACTGTCCAAACTTACCTTCATTGCACAGGTACGTGACTTTGTGATGCTGATAGATGTTTCGGTTTTAATCCGCGGCATGTCAGAGTCAAATAATTTAAAGGGTTTCCTCTCATTTCCTCCGTCGTCGAACAGAGCTCTCACAGTCAAGCTATCGGACAGCCTAACTCGAGCTGATTGGCTACAAACTGAAATGCTGACACCTGATAGGCTGCTCTGAAACATCAGCGTCTGTTACGTCCCTCCCGTTGCGGCTGTGGTGGCAGACGCGCGCGCCCGTCCGGGTTGGTTTTCTGCTGTCACAGCTGAGGCACATCTGGGCTACAACATACGTCATCGGCCTTCAGTAACATGTCAGGTTTACATAAATAAAAGTTAATAGCGCTACTGTTTCTGCTAATACTTTACAGAGTTTTTCGTAGCAGGATTCAAACACTGCCTGGTGTGTTTTTTAATTAAGAACTCTCGACAGGACAATTCAGACGGGAGCTGTGATGGTATTTCCTGGTTTTACATCATTTAAACAGCAGGGGGAGCGATTTACCCATCTTTGGTAGAGTGGCGGTCAGAAGTTCAGAAACAGATTATAGAATGGCGTCTTTTATTTCATCGATTCATTTTTTAAGTAAAATTCAAGTATTATATAGATTTATTACTCCAAGTTATATATCTAAATCGTTCATTTATAAAAAATAAACAAATATAGTCCATTTTGATGGCTTAAAGCTAATGAAAACTCAACATTTGGCCATTAAATAAAGCAGATTAAAAAAAAAACTAAAAGAAATGATGTATGTTCATGCAAATACGTTAAGTGTTTTGTTTATCTCTTTAATTATGTGTTGATATCCAAAAAGACGCGTGAAAACAATTAGAGCAGTTTTGTCCGAAAGAGTGGATCATAATTCAAACTATTACGAAATTAGCTAGAGTGCAGCTTGTGGAAGGATACCCAAAACATTTGACCCAAGTCGTAGATTCATTTTAATTAATTTTATTCTTCCATGGTATTTAAAAAAAAAAATTAAGTTGGTAATTACAGTAGTGCAAGGGTGGCTTCATCAAGCTTGTCATTCAGTCCCCAACACGAGAACGACAAAATAACAAAAAATCTCCAAGTAAGCTAGGCTGTCCAGTTGTTGAGTTGAATCAAACGGAATAGCACCTTTTTTAAAAGTCAGTCGTGGTTCGGTTCAGTTAGTAGCCGGATCCTTACTGGAGTTACCGGGATGCTTGCGGGGGTGACTCTGCTTCTAGGACAAGAACTGAGACACAAAGGTGAAGGCCTGATGAAGGTCCTCTGTCAGCTCCTCTGGCAGCGACAGAACCAGCGACGTCAGGCCTTTCGTTATTTCCAATATCCTACAAGAGGGAACAGAGTATGGCCTCTTAATCAGATTGTCCGCGGATTAATCATAGTCTTCTCGAAGGCTGGAACTCACCAGCTGATGTAATGAGCTGTCAGCTGAGGCTCATGCCTGCAGCCTTCCTCCGCCACCAGAGACTGCTTCATCTGTTTGAAGTTGGTCTCAATGTCCTTCTTTATTTCTGAAAAGACCTGGATTCCCTTGAAAGAGCTGATGACTTGCTTCAGAAGTAAAGAAAAAGAGAGAGACACGTTAAGGAAACAGGCAGAACGGTTTGGAAGACTGGAGAGGAATCAATTCAAAGAAAGCAGAAGACAGATTCACCCCACTTACATATATAACTGAGAGCTGGTGGGCTATGTATTTATGACTACCCAGGTGCCTGATGTCCTCCTCCAGCTGCTGACTCAGCACCAGCAGCTGGTTCAGTTTGGCGACGTGAAAGAAGTATTCTGTAGCACGAACAGAAGCGGAGGTTGGTGCCGGCAGCAGAACGGCAACAGGAAACGCGGTATGAGCACAAATTGAACTTTTTTCCTTTTTTTTTTTTTTTCTACGCTGTAATCACAACTTTCAGTGTTTTATCAATGAGATTTTCTGTGACAAGCCAGCAAAAAGCAGC